CGTCTTCTTGTGTCTGGTCTCCCCCGGTCTCTACCTCCCCTTCCTCAGGGCCCAGGCCCTGCCTGTGTCCCCTGTGTCGAGGGGCGCCAGCGTGCTGCCCCTCACTCCTCCCAGTTTCCTCCGACAGAGGCCCCGCTGCAGACGCTTCACATGGACGTGTGGGGCCCAGCCCGCGTCCGTGGACAGGGTCAGGAGCGCTACTTCCTGCTCGTTGTTGACGACTACTCGCGTTACACCACAGTCTTCCCCTTGCGCAGCAAGGGTGAGGTTAATGAGGTGCTGATCGACTGGATCCGCGCAGCTCGTCTTCAGCTCAGGCAGAGCTTTGGCTCCGACTTTCCTGTGTTGCGTCTGCACTCTGACAGAGGCGGAGAGTTCTCCTCTGGCCTTCTGCGTGCCTACTGTCGGGCGCGAGGCATCCGCCAGTCCTTCACGCTTCCGGACTCCCCGCAGCAAAATGGGATTGCTGAGCGCTGCATTGGCATGGTCATGGACGTCGCCCGTACGTCCATGATGCATGCGGCTGCCCCCCATTTTCTGTGGCCGTTTGCGGTCAGGTACGCAGCGCATCAGATCAACCTCCACCCCAGGGTCTCCAGGCCGGAGACCTCCCCAGCCCTGCTGTGGACGGGGAAGGTTGGCGATGCGTCGGCGTTCCGGGTCTGGGGATCTCGGGCGTTTGTCCGCGACTTGTCTGCGGACAAGCTGTCCCCTCGCGCTGCTCCCTGCGTCTTCCTAGGGTTCCCCCCCGACGCCCCTGGGTGGCAGTTCTACCACCCCTCCTCTCGACGTGTTCTGTCCTCCCAGGACGTCACGTTCGACGAGTCGGTACCCTACTACCGCCTCTTCCCCTACCGCGCTCCGTCCCTCCCCCCACCCCCGCTCTTCTTGGTACCAGGTCCCCCCCCGGTAGTCCCCCTCCCCCCTCAGGGTCCTGCCCCTTCAGGTGTGTCCCAGGTAGACGCGGTCGAGCCTGTCGAGGTCACTGGTGACTCTGGTGCTGCTGCGGGAGCTGAGCCTGGGGGTGCGGAGTCTGGGGGTGCTGAGCCTGGGGGTGCTGAGCCTGGGGGTGCTGAGCCTGGAGGTGCTGAGCCTGGGGGTGCTGTGCCTGGGGGTGCTGAGCCTGGAGGTGCCGAGCCTGGGGGTGCTGTGCCTGGGAGTGCTGTGCCTAGGGGTGCTGAGCCTGGGGGTGCTGAGCCTGGGGGTGCTTCGTCTCGCCGGGAGCCACTCTCCCCACAGGAGCTGCGTGAGTGGTTTGCCAGGCGCTGGAGGCGTGCTGCTGGTGCTGGTGGCTCTTCGGCTGCAGAGGGTACTGCTGCCGCGCGTCCCGGCGGTGCTCGTCCTGTGGGTGCTGGAGCTGCTGGGTCTGAGAGTTCTCCTGGAGCTGGTGCTGCTGAGGGTGTTGGCGCTGAGCCTGCCGCTGGCGGTCCGACTGACAGTGCTCCTGGTGCTGCTGCTGGAGGTTCTGGAGCTTCTGGTGGTGCTGCTGGAGGTGCTACTAGAGTGGGTGCTCCTGCCGGGGGTGCTGGTGCTGTTCCTGCTGTTTCTGGCGTCGCCGCGCGGCCCCGACCGTACTTCGTTCCGCTCCTGCAGCAGGTTCTTGGTCTTCCACCTCCTCCTCCTCCCTTAGAGGGTCCGCAGCCTGTCCGGTCACAGCCACAGCTACAGCCTGCCTCCCCTTTGCCTGCTCCTTCTCCCTACGCTGGTCCGACTGGAGGTCTTACTGAGCGTCGTGAGCCTGCGTCTCGTCCTGCGTCGCCTGTTCGTACTGAGCGCACTAGTGGTCGCGGGTCGCGTCAGCGTCCTCCTCCTGTCCCTGGCACGCAGCGGATGTCACTACGTCCGTCCACTGCTCCTCTGCATGCCCCTTTGCCTTCTCCTCCTGCGTCCTCTCTTCCTGCTCTTGCCGACCCGGAGTCGGACTCTCTTCGTGCTGCCAGTCCTACTGTCACGCGTCTCCTTGCTACTGCTGTCACTGACCCTTCCTTCGAGTCGTCTGCTGCGTCTGCCCTTGTCACTGAGCTTGTCGACTTTGCTGCGCGCTGTCGTCTAGACTACGCTGCCAGTCTTGTCGCTGAGTCTGAGTCTACCTGTCCTCCGTCCGTCGGGGGTGAGTGTGCCCTCGGCACGGACGTCCTTGAGGACAGGCAGGAGGAGTTCTAGTGTCTGGCCGCCGCTTCACCCCATCTCGCGTCTGTACTGCTAGCCCTTGAGGGAGACCCGGATGCACCAGACATCCCGACTCCGCGCTCTTACGCGGAGGCGATAGAGGGTCCCTACTCCTCTCAGTGGCAGGCAGCTATGGATGCAGAGATGGCTTCCTGGAAGTCCACAGGCACCTACGTCGACGCTGTCCCCCCTCCTGGGGCGAACATCGTCAGTGGCATGTGGATTTTCAGGGTGAAGCGGCCGCCGGGTTCTCCGCCTGTCTTCAAGGCGCGTTACGTGGCTCGTGGCTTCAGTCAGCGGCAGGGGGTTGACTACTTTCAGACCTTCTCCCCCACCCCGAAGATGACTACTCTTCGGGTTCTGCTGCACGTTGCTGCTCACCGGGACTACGAGCTGCACTCTCTCGACTTCAGCACAGCTTTCTTGCAGGGCAGCCTGCACGAGGAGATCTGGCTGCGCCGCCCACCTGGCTTCACTGGGTCTTTCCCTCCTGGTACCCAGTGGAGTCTCCGGCGTCCAGTCTACGGTCTCCGCCAGGCGCCACGTGAGTGGCACGACACACTGAGGACTACGCTCGCGGCACTTGGGTTTGCTCCGTCTACTGCCGACCCGTCGCTGTTTCTGCGCACCGACACCTCTCTGCCGCCGTTCTACATCCTCGTGTACGTCGACGACTTGGTCTTTGCCACAGCTGACACTGCTGGACTCGCCTACGTGAAGTCCGAGCTGCAGAAGAGACATACGTGCACTGACCTGGGTGAACTGCGTAGCTACCTTGGCTTGCAGATCACCCGGGACAGAGCGCGCCGCACCATTACCCTGACTCAGTCACACATGGTGCAGCAGGTCCTTCAGCGCTTCGGCTTCACGTACTCCTCGCCTCAGGCCACTCCTCTGCCTACTCGCCACTCGCTCTCAGCTCTGCCTTCGGATGAGTCCGTAGAGTCGAGTGGCCCGTTTGCAGAGCTTGTTGGCTGCCTCATGTACCTGATGACCTGCACACGTCCTGACCTTGCATACCCTCTTAGCATTCTCGCACGCTATGTTGCTCCTGGGAGACACCGACCAGAGCACATGGCTGCAGCGAAGAGGGTGTTGCGCTACTTGTGCAGTACGTCGGGCATGGGGCTAGTGCTTGGAGGGCGCAGTCCAGTGGTCCTCACTGGGCACGCAGACGCTTCCTGGGCTGACGACCAGGCTACGCAGCGGTCGTCACAGGGTTACACCTTCAGCCTTGGTTCCGGCTCTGTTTCGTGGCGGGCTACTCGCTCGTCTTCTGTTCTGGGCTCCAGTTGTGAGGCTGAGATCTACGCTGGGGCTATGGCTGCACAGGAGTTACGCTGGCTCACCTACCTGCTGACCGACCTTGGAGAGCAGCCTCGTTCTCCTCCAGTCCTGTACGTAGACAACAAGGCCATGCTGGCCTTGTGTCGAGAGCAGCGACTGGAGCACAGAACGAAGCACATTGCCCTCCGCTACTTTCTTGCTCGTGAGCTGCAGCAGCGTGGACAGTTGCGACTTGCGTACGTGGCCTCTGAGGCCAACACTGCTGATGTCTTCACTAAGGCACTTGCGCCTTGTGATCATCAGCGTTGTTGCACGCAGTTGGGTCTTGTGTCTGTCTTGCCTCACTTGCTCACTTCTTGACCTTGCTTGTACCTTCACCTATATATACTCTTGCTCTTACTTGCTTGACTCTTGTATATCTTTATATATGATCTTGCATGTGAACTGGCCTTCTGGCCTTTTGAACTTGTGCTCGGAATGTGTGGTGACTTTGTGATCCACCCTGAGCTTTGCTTTGCTTTGCTTGACTGGTCTTGTGACCCCTTGTTCTCACCCACTTTGCCTATGGGGGTGTGTCAGAACATTATAGCTTACTCATTTATGTAGGCTATAGTGGGGTATCCCATAGGGGGTACAACCCAGTTAGGGTTTCCTATTTGTACTCACTTCGTTCATAGTTCACTCATTTTCTCTCGTTCACTTCTTCTCAGCCTTGCCCCCTCCCAATAACTTTTCCCCTCCCCCTCCCTCAACCACCAACCCTTACCATGGTTTGTCTCTTTCCACTTGGATGTGTCACCTTCTTAGTAGCTCTGTCAGTTTCACATCCTGTTTTTCACCTAGTCTATCTCCCTGTCACCTCTCAGATTTTTGCGGCCAACAGTTTGCTGAACCTCTGTCATTTCCCTCACCTCCTCCCTCCCCACCACCCCTTTTTACCGTATGTGCAACCAGGTTCTAGTGCTTGACTTGAGCTGGCTTTTGCTATGGTCCAAGTTTTCTGACTCTTGTATGATGGCACTTGCTGCACTGTAGAATTTACTGATTGCACTATTAGCTTCTCCCACTTATCCGCGTTATGAGATGTGGCGTACATATCCGAGAAAAAATCTACATCATCAAAAGTAATTATTGACGTTCCCCCCAGGCCGTCGATTCCAGCTTGGGTGTTTCTTCAACCACACGAGGCTTGGTTTGAGACGGTTTCTCTTATCTCATTCATCGAACTAGGCTGACCTGCCGCCAAACTTCCAATTTTTTTTTTTTTTTTCGCACCAAACCAATCAAGTTCCGTGGACCGTGGTTGAACTTGGAGCTGTGAATTGCAATCTGGGCCTCACAGGGGGAGATCAACGACTAGCCTACCTGGGGTACGCTGACGACACGACATTGCTCCTGCAAGGGGAAGAACAGATATCAGAGGCTGAGAAGCTGCTGGACGACTTCGAAAAGGAATCGGGGCTGGCGACCAACAAATCGAAGTTGGCTGTTCTACCCTTGGGCTGCAATTTGAACAAACAGGCTAGCAAAACCGATGGTTTCAAATGGGTGAAGGCCGACGAGGTGGAGAGACTGTTGGGGGTCTGGGTGACGCCGGTCGGTTGCTGCGCGCCCACCTGGGAGAAGGCATTCGCACGGATAAAGGAGAAACTGAGGCAGTGGGAGGTGCAACACCTGACGACCAGGGCGAGAGCAGCAGTAATAAACTGTTACATCTCACCTATCATCTTCTTTCAGGCGCAGGTGTACCCACCTCCGGTTGACATCTGGGGAAGGATTCTGAAGTTGACACATAACTTCATGTCTGGGAACCGGGCCTCCACAGACAAAGCCTTCATTATGTGGAGCAAGGAGTTGCTGTACATGGCTAGAGAGGATGGGGGTATGGGGGTGTGCGATCCGGAGATAGCCCTCACCTGTCTCACGGCGAGGCGTATCGGCTTACTCCTCACTGAGACAAACGAGCTGAAACGGGACATTATGCTCAAGGCTGCTGACTTGCCGCTGGGGCTGGACACATTTGTTTCTCATGTCAAGCTCCTGAAGTGCTGGAGTGGGAAGAGTGAGCGATGGAAGCTGGCTTGTGGCAACTTCATACAATCGCCGCTGGCCGACACATCACCTGCACTGTCATGGGCGGAGGCAGAGAAGGAGAGGATCAATTTCAACCGACATATTTTGCTAAACGGGAGGACTCTGGTGGGAGGGCAGAAGGCGGCGGAGAAGCTCTGGGAGGTCCGGCTTAGCGACTTGCTAAGCCCGGACGGTGCGGGGGGCCGGCGGCCTAAGGACGTAAAGCTCCTGGCGAAGGAGCTAGGCGGTACCAAACAAGCGAAGCTGGCGCTGCGGGCCTGGGATGCAGTGCCGCAGAACTGGAAGCTGCTCCTTCTGCCTGCCGAGCAACAGGAGGGGGACGTTTTGGCTCCGAGGGCTCCCCTCCAGAGAACCCTCGTGCTCAGCGGTGGGCAGCTGACGTCGCTGAGGGAGCTGAAGGGATGCTGGCAACAGAAGAAACATCAGTCCGCAAAGAGAGAGCTGTGGGCGGGCAGATGGGGAGGAGAAATTAACTAGAAGGAGGTCATCAAGATCTGGGACTCTTTGGTGACACCAAACAGGCCGCGGGACGTATTGCTAAGGATTCACAGTTTGAATCTGCAAGTGGGGGAACGACTCTCTTTCCTAAGTGGCAAGCCGGTCTGCCCGCACTGTGGAGATTTTGAGACCATAGAGCACTGCCTCTTCACCTGCCCGCGCATTCAGCTGGTGGTGGGTGGGGGCAGTCAGGCGGGCCATGCGTTTGCTTCATCCAGCGAGGCAAGTGGAGAGCCTGAGTGATTTGTTGTTCGGCAAGGCAGCATCCACCTCAGCCTTCCCTGAAGCCTCGCTGGCAGCAATTGCGGTGCATCAGATATGGGCAGAGCGGTGTGATTGTGTTTTTCGAGAGAAGCGTTTCCGGGCTCGGCGCGTTCTCAGGCGCATTGAGACAGCTTTTCGTCTGCATGTGAAAGTGTACACCCGTGCAATGGGGAGGAAGTTGGGAAAGGGCGGTGGTTCGAAGCGACAAGGGAGGACTTTGGTACTGGCGGGCTTGGAGAACTGTTTGCTTGGACGCATCCGATGCATGAATGAGAAGGGCTGGAAGTGGACCCGCAATTTTGGGGCACTGTGAAACCTCGCGCGTGGCGCCCTGCATCCGCCTTAAACGCTTCCTCTAGGGCTGTTACTAGTTCTCGGCCTCTCGCGCTCAGTTACGACTTACATATGTTTTCGTATACGCATGTACCACCAGTGTATAGTGAACATATTACACCTGAAACAAGACTCGACGTTAACGTCAGAAGGGTTGCGTAGCTTGCGTTTGTTGTTTTGAAAACCGTTGGTTTGTTGTTGAGTGACGCTGCAAAATGATTTTATATTTCTCAGACCCTCGTATATTGTCATTCAGTTTTGCAGATGTGTTTCTAGTAATCTTATATTTAATGCCTTTGAGTAAAATAAAAGTAAGCTCGGATTGAGTTGGGTCGAGCATGTGTGACAGAATCATAATTATGGCAAATAATTGATTACAAATCGGTGCTGCAAGTCCTGAACACATTGATGATAATGTGATTCAGGAAGGTACCATAGACTATGTCCACCTTCCGTAAGACCAAGTTCGCTTGCGTGTTGTTGGAAACATATAGTTCGCGTTTTTGATGGTTCGACCATGAAGCTTTTGACGATTTATGCGACCAATATGCATGGGTACGTAATATTGACGATGTAAAATGAAGCTCTTTTTATGTCTAGTTAGTGTTTACTGTTTGTTTGAGTTTTTTTTTTAATCAATGAATTTTTAAGATGTAGTTTCCATTTTAGAGTTTTACTGATGACTAAGCATAGTTAAACATATCTGAGTTGTTCAAAGGTGATTCATCAGTCAGGTGAAATGACGCCTTTCTGACTTGTTGGCTTGGTTTTCACGTGTCTCTGAGTAAGTACACCAATTTGTTTTTAGAGTAACTAGAATCCCGTGGTTTGGTCTTCCTGTTTGCGTCCTAGTTTTTATCTACTACACTTTTCTTTTACTAGTTTAACCAAAACTAGTCGAGCAGTTGACCTAGTGCGGAATTCAGTTCCCTCTAGTCGATACTTTTGTTTGCTTCGGTCACCAATTTGACTCGACCAACTACGGAGCAAATACTGAGTGCAACAATAGAACGAAGCTTGTGTAGCTAATAATCGAAGCGCGCTCGTTTCCTCTCGAATTCCAGTAACACTCGCCATGAGAACCAACGACCAGGCATCGTTTCTTGTTTCAGTGTTTGCGAGCTTCCTTTCAAAGTTGATTCTTGATTCTGATGTCCTTAGACTTCTTGATTCTTGATTATCGCTTTCTTGATTAATCAGAGAACTCCCCAGTTTTGCGCTTCAAGTGACCTGCAATAGTAGTAGCGTTTTGCATTAAGTCTCTTGTCAACGGACCGTCGCTCCTCACCAAAGCAATTGCAGGTAGTAACGCTGTTTATGCCCCGCTACTAGTAGGCCCAGTGACATTGAGCGCATTGAGCGCCGCACATGGGCGCTGGCGCTTTTAAGCGCTGGCGCCTTGGCGCCTTCAGCGCTGGCGCTGTGGCACCTTCGGCGCTGGCGCCAGGGCGCCTGCGCTGGCACCGTGGCGCCTTCAGCGCTGGCGCCGTGGCGTCTTCAGCGCTGGCGCCGTGGCCGCCACCAGCGCTGGCGCCATGGAGCCTTTAACGTTGGCGCCTTGGCGCCATGAGCGCTGGCGCCGCGCCGCCTTAAGCGCCTTTAGCACTAGCGCCTAAAGCCTGCGTTGTGGCTGCTCTTCCACATCTCTAAATTGTAAAGGTTACGAGTTGAATTGATTTCGGGGCTCCCAAAAACAGTAACTGAGCAAAGAGACAACGCTACGGGTCATGAGTACTTTGGCATAGTGGTTCATGAAACGAGTCCATAAACTGATTGTCATCAGATCGATTCTCGCTGGAACGATTTTCATGAGTCTGTTAATGCTTGTTGTTGCGTTTTCCTGTTTGTGCTCGTTGCAACGCACCCAGCGAGTATCGATCCCCCAACCTTCCGCGCAAGTCAGATTCAAAAGTCATTAAGGCAAAAAAACAGGAGATCTGTCAGCATCAGGTATCTAACCCGCATCTCTAAACCACCAAAGCCTGGTCAGATTTGGGTTAGTTTTGAGTGAGGTACAGGTCAGGTTAGTTTCGGGTCAAATACTTCCTGACCTCGAACTGACCTCAAAATACTTTATGACCCCAAAGTTTCATTTTGGTGATGCAGCTCCCCTCCGCCTATCCCTTCGCCTCTCTTGCTGTTCCCCTACCTTGCCCGTACCAGGAGGGACAACGGTGGGTCTGCTCTGGTGCGTGTTTGCCGGTCAAGTGCGCTCTACGTTCTACTCAAACTGGTTCCTTTCCATGCCCCTGACAGGTGGGACAACCGTGGGACCGTAGTGTGCCTGTCGAGTGATTACTAGTTCTACTAAAACTGCTCATGCTATTGTTTCCCAACTCCCTCCGTCCTATCTCTTTGCTTGGCCATTCGCCCCTTGCTGCAGCGCTTCCAAAACGCACCTCTTATCTTGAACAGCTTGCTGCTGCTCTCATTCACCCTCGGCCTGCTTGCTGCTGATCTCAGCCTCGTAAGTATCTGTGCACCTATCATTGTGAATGGTTCCTCTTTGCATTGTAGTCTATCTCTGTCCCTTTTTTGTATCTTTTGTCCCTTACCCTTGCCCTGCTTCTTGCTGCTCCGAGCCTTGTAATGTATCCCTGCCCCATACTCTTTCTCCTTCTCCCTATTCCTTCTTCTTGTCTTTTGCCTCTCCATCCCCCGGTACCTATTTTCCTTTGCAACTCGACCTTAAAGCCTTTTAGGATGCACCTGCTGTCGTCCTCCCACCCATTGGCTTGAAGGAACCTAGTTTCCAGGGTCAACCAAATCACTCTTGTACATCTTCTTCTCCGTGTGTACTTATTGTCAACCAAGTGCTTGCTGGTTCTACTAAAATTGCTCATGCTGTTCCTCCCCAGCTCCCCTCCGTGTTGGCCCCTCTCGGGTCCGCTTCATTCATTACCACATGAGCTGACCGTGTGGCTGAGTTCGTTGTTGAGTGCGCTTCATATGTTCTTCTCCTGACATGTCCCTTGATTTTCATGTCCCTTGCTTCTCATGTCCCTTGCTTCTCATGTCCCTTGCTTCTCATGTCCCTTGCTTCTCATGTCCCTCGCTTCTCATGTTCCTTCTCTTTCCCTATTCGTCTTCCCTCAGTCTCTTCGCCCTTCAACACCAGGAAAATCCTTTGCAACTCCTTGTCCAACTTCGTTGATCCAGTTAACTTCACTTTCATATTCATCACTACCCTGTAAGGTACCTTTTGTACCTGAAAACTGAGGCTATTCCAAAGTAGATAAAATGGCTGCTTTGTTTCTTATTGTCTCCTGTACGTTTTCTTGTATCTTCTTTCTTTCTGTATACCTTACCATATTCTTATACAATTCACCACACCATGTTTGTCAATTTTTCTTATCTCTCCCATACGTCTTGATTTATCCCCACCACAGACCTCTTCAGATCTTCTCGATTTTGTTTGCACCCTACTGTATCGTTGCGCACGCGTCAAGACTTGAAACACTTCACCAGCTCCATCCCCTTCGGGAACCATAAAGCCAACAGCTTTAATCATCCTGTAAGTAGTTACTCAGTGTTTTTCCTCCCAAGGCATCTCAAGAAGCATATACACAACACCCAACTCTCCCCAAAGCACCTCTGTGCTATGCCATTTTTGTCCTTCCTAACTTTTCGAACTGCTCTCCATTCTGTGACACCTGGAAATTGTTTCTTCTTAAACGTCTCTTATGCCGAGTTCTTGCCTCTTCTTAGTCCACCTGTCCCCTGCACCCATCCCCTCCTCTAAGACTCGTCCTTGACAACCTCCTCGCAAGGTCACTCAAATCAAGAACACATCATTCATTCCCTCCATCCTTCCCTCCATGTTCTCCAACCTGATATCCCTCCTCATTCTCTCAGATCCGTCCCCAACAAGCTGTTAACAGGGTCATTATCAGCCTCTGTCTACCCTCCGCCAACTCGTTCCCATGTGAGTTTTTTATGCGTTTTCTGAGGTCACTTTCACGTGAGCGAGTGCATGGCTGAGTGCACGAGTGAGTGCATGTGAGTAAGAAGTTGAGCATTCAAGTGAGTGTGAGGGTGAATGCGTGGTTGAGTGTGAGCGTGAGTGCGAGTCTGGGTGCATGGTTGAATGCGTGGCTGAGTGAGTGAGTGCAAGGCTAACAGGGAAGGTGAGTGCAAGGGTGAATGCGTGGTTGAGTGAGTGAGTGCAAGGCTAACAGGGAAGGCGAGTGCAAGGGTGAATGCGTGGTTGAGTGAGTGAGTGCAAGGCTAACGGGGAAGGCGAATGCAAGGGTGAATGCGTGGTTGAGTGAGTGAGTGCAAGGCTAACGGGGAAGGCGAGTGCAAGGGTGAATGCGTGGTTGAGTGAGTGAGTGCAAGGCTAACGGGGAAGGCGAGTGCAAGGGTGAATGCGTGGTTGAGTG